GGGACGGGAATTCCCACTCCACATTGATAAGTCTTCCCCCAAATAAAAGTGAACCCCATTTGCAGCTGTCGGGAGATCAACAGGCCTCCCCTCCCCACTCCCTCCAGGTTCTCTGTCCTTTGGCCAGTGTTGTCTTTGTTTTGGGGGCTGTTCTCTGACTTGTTACGACCTGGGGAGGGGGATTGTGCTCAGGCTTTGGAAGGAAGGCCAGTGTTGTCTTTGTTTTGGGGGCTGTTCTCTGACTTGTTACGACCTGGGGAGGGGGATGGTGCTCAGGCTTTGGAAGGAAAACAGGCCTCCCCTCCCCACTCCCTCCAGGTTCTCTGTCCTTTGGCCAGTGTTGTCTTTGTTTTGGGGGCTGTTCTCTGACTTGTTACGACCTGGGGAGGGGGATTGTGCTCAGGCTTTGGAAGGAACCCAAGTCCCTGCCCCAACTACTCTGCTGCTGACCACTTCAGGCTGATGACCTGGCCACTGCAGTGTCACTTATGACACTCCCTCACTAGGCCTGAACTGGGCCTTGGAACAACATGAACACGTTCTTCAAGCAGCTGCTACCAATTGTTAGAAATGGAAGTGAGATTACTCCCCCTACACCACACCTCTCCATGGCGTGATGTAATGTACTGCCAGCTTTTTTACCCTCCATGTCAAGGTTTGTGCATCCTGCGGCCTGCTCCTGTCTTGGGATTCTTGGCCCGAAACAGTCTGGAGTACTTAAGTTTCTCCCCCTAAGCCCACAAGAGGGCGCTGGACACCATAAAGCTCAGACACCACAGCATTTGCTCTGTGCAGCTGCGGCCCAGGACTCACCTGTCTTAGCCCTGGGTCACCCACCTCCCAGCGTCAGGGACCCGCCAGCCCTGCAGGTGCGAGGAACCTGTGCAGTGCAGGGAGACCACGGCACCCCCTTGCCCACCTCATGCCCCTTACCGAGCCAGATGTGAGCCCCCACCCATCAGCTCTCCAGACTCCTCAGTCCAACCTCAATGCTTGGAACCCCTCCTCTGCACTGCCACAAACCTGAGCACTGAGGACAGCCCTGTGTGAAGTTTTCTGTTCTGCAGCTGCCCTGATTGGGAGCCGAGGCTGTGCCAAGGGTGGTTTGGTGGCAAGACTCATCAGCCCTCCCCACAAACCACCCCGGTGCACCAGCAGTCCCATCATCAGCTGCGCGCTTACCACAGACACAGCTCTTGCTCTCCCCCCACCTCAGGTGAGAATTCTGCAGCGGCAGGTGTCTCCCTGCTACTGCGCAGGGCTGTTCTTTGATGCGCCCTCCAGCCTGGTAAACTAACTAGTAGGCATTCAGCAAATAGCCATTTTCCCATAATTTTTTATTAAGAAAAATTCCAAACATACAGAAAATTTGAAAGAACAAGTACACCATTCACTGGAATACCAGCCACTGAAGATTCAATGACAAACATTTTTGCCTTATTTGCTTTGTGTATTTTGGGGGGAACCATTTGGAAGTAAATTACACATTTCTTGAAATCATTCACCTATATAATTCAGCATCTATCTCCTAAGAATAAGGACATTTTCCTATAAACCTCAATACCATTAAATGGCTATTAAATGGATGATCTTAGTGAAGGGCTCCCGTCCACCACAAAATCGTGATGAGCCTTCAGCAGAAAGTGGCCAGAACCCACCTCTGGGCTCCTCCACACTCTCTCCCCTCCCAGAAAGGCAGAGCAGGAGCAACACAGGATTCTAAAGAGCTGTCTGGATGGGGGATGACAAACACCAGCTCCACCTGGGAAGCCTGGACAACTGCAGTCCTACCCCACACCACGAGCTGGCCATCTGAGTTGGGAGAGCACACACAGGAGTCTGTCAGGTGGAAGTGGAAGTCACTGGGGGTGGGGATGAGCACCAGCCCCAAGAGCCTGGAATAGCACCCAGCGTGGCTGTGGCCCTGCCCCACACAACTCACAAACGCCTGGTCACCCATGGCACTGCCAAAGCAGCCACCTGAAGCCTCCATGGTGGGCACAGAGCCCCCATCTCCTGGTATAGGGGTCAGGCAAGGAGATCTCCTTCAGGGCAGGGACGTGCCCCGTCAGCTTTGCTGGTGGGATTAAATATAGATCAGGGAGACACAGTTGCCAGGCAGAAGCAGGAGGTGCTGTGAATAGAACAGTGCCCTTTGCGGTGACAAAGCTACAAGGGAGCCTGCTGTGCATGTGCCAGGGCTTTCAGGGCAGACCCCCCAACCCTCATGGTGACATCTGTCCCCACTTTACATGCAAAGAATCTGAAGTTCAGATGAAGTCGTTTCTGCAAGATCATTCTGCCAAGAAGTAGAGGAGCCCAAATGTAGAGTTTTGAGCCACATTCTTGCTGCCAGCTCTCCTAATGGTGTTTGTAGGTCCCCAGGGTCTCCACCTCAGGCAGGTCCCACGCTGAGGCCCAGGCTCAGAACCACGAACTCTTCTTTTGTGTTTCTCCGAACATGCTGTGTGTGCCTGCTTGCCTTGGCTCACGTTGGCCCACTGGCCTGCAATGAACGCCCTTGCACAGGGTAGGTGTTGCAGGAGGCATCTGATGGACGGTGACTACAGAGCCAGGGTGGTGGCAAGGTCCAGACTCCTGGGCCTGGTGGGGTTGGAGCCTGGAGGCGACAGCATGACCAGGGGGCCCACGAAGGGTGACAGCAGAGAAGGCAAGGAACCAGTTCCCTGTGGAGCTTTCTGCTGGCTCTGCAGGAGGCTCTGGAATGCTGCTCCGGGAGCCTGTCTGGCAAGGGGACAGAGGCCCAGCGTGCACTGCTGCCCCTGCCCTGAGCTTCCCGCCTGGCCCGCAGTTTTCCAGCTTTTGTGAGCCTGAGTGGCTGGTTCTGGTTCAAGAGCTCTGAGCTGGCTCAGCCCCAAACCAGGGCCTCTTCCTGGGCCTCGGTGAAGCATGCCCGTGAGTCAGCACCAAGAAGCAAACTGAGCAACAGGCAGGGCAGATGCAGGATGGGAGCACAGGCCGGAGGAAGGGCTGGGCCGGTACCTGGAAGAACCCACGTCCTTGCAGCCTCTCGTGGCTGCAAGATCTTTGACCCTGCAGATCGTTCCAGAGGAGTTCTGTCACAACCACTCCACAGATGATGGCAGACTGATTCCATGTGAGGGTTAGTAAACATGTAGGATGCACATCGGAGCTGCATCTTTCCCTCTACCATGCATGACCATCTGAGAACCACTTCACATACCTCTAACCCCAAGTAATAGCCTGCAGGAACGCTAAGGAGGTAGGTGAGGGAGTGGGGGACAGGCCTTTGCCCCCATTTCTTGATTGTGTAACAACACTTCATTAAAATGAAATCACACAGTGCATCTTTTATCAGACACTATTTTAATTCCATATCAAAACACCTTGACTAATGAAGAAAGCTTTTCTCCCAAGCTTTGAACATTTTTTAAACATTCTGTAAGTTGTGTTTTTTTGTATTTTAATATATAAATACAGAAACCTATCCTGCATGGGTTGATGCCACGTGTGAACATCAATGGCTAAAATGTCCTCAAACAGAGTGCTTGAAAACAGGGGTTGTTGTACATATTTCTTTAGTAAGTCTTTTCGTTTAAGTTTTATGGGGGAAAAATCCACAAGGGCCTAAGAAAATGTTCAGGCATTTTTGCAGGACACTTGTGGTTGCTAAATCCTCTGAACTGACCAGAACCAGGAGGAAAGAAAGGAGAAATGGGAATGGAGGAGGGGAGAAAGTCCTCAAGTGGGTTATTTTTTTGGCAATGAAGTCAAGATATCAGGGTCCCAAGGGGTGAAAGGTGCAAAACCAAGCCAGAAAAATGGAAACAAACCCAAGGCAGAGAGGTTGCTGATGGATAGGGCCAACGGGCGAAGGAAGAGATGGCGTGCACTCACCCGCCTGCCTGCACTGGCTGACTTGGCTGTGATCATTTCTGTCACTGAGTGGGTTATAGCTGGGCAGCAAATGGCAATCCGTAAACATCACCAGGGAAAACACCAGTCGACACGAGATTTTTTTTTTTTTATATAATTTTTTTTTTTTGTAAACACTTTAAAGACAGACCCACAACGCCTTTCAAAGGTGAAAAAGAAAATGCCCTTTCCCTCCAGGGCTGACAGGGGAGGGGAAGGATAGAGCTTGGTTCATTCTTCTCTCAAACTCCTCTCATCCAACGCAGTGTCCTCAGGGAGGAAGGGAGAACCATTTTCTGGAAGTCAGTGCAGAAGGGGTGCCCTGTTCCCACTGGTGTCCCAAGCTCAGCTCTGCCCCAGTGTCCGATGAGCCTCCTCTCAGGAACAGGGGCCATCTGTCCTGTGTGGAGCACAACACATAAGTTGTACCCGTCTGCCCGGGCTGGCTGCTGCATCCATGGCTGGGTCTGGGCAGGCCCCCGAAGCCAAACTTCATGCCAGGATTTGGATCCGTGCTCCCGGGCCAGGCTCCACACCCTCCGCCTCGTTCTTGCCCTCGCTCTGTCTTCTCCCCTTGTCATCAGTCTTTGAGGTGAAGGTAAAAAGAGCACATGTCCCTGATTTGCCTGACATCATCAGCTGTTCTGGGAGTTTGCTTGGAATAAATAAAATAAACCTAACAAAACAAAACAAAAGCAGAAAAGAGAGAGGGAGAGAGAAAAGAAAGAGGCCCCCAAAACTTCAGATGTGAGAGGAGGTGGAGTTGGGCTTTTGGTTTTTCTGGAGGTTGTCTATTTGTTTGCCAAGAAACAGAAGATGCCAGCCCAGAATCTGGAGGGACAGGTAGGATGGGAGACAAGAGAGGATGGTGTGCAGTAAGGGAATGTGCCCTGGGGAAGAAATAGGGAGGCTAGACCCACTGGTTGCGTGGGGGTGACATGTGGGTGCAAATGGGGGGGACACTGTTGCACTGGCCTGCTGTGGAGTTGGGGCCTGTGCTATGGGGTGGAGGGGCAAGTCTGGCCTCAGATTCATCTGGAATCAGGGTGATGGAGGTGGCCTGCAGTTGGGAAGAACCAGCAGTAAAATTATCACTGGCACACACTTTGAAGTGGCCAATGCACCGTGCCATAGGCCATCTGTGTAATAAGTGTAGTGTCCATATGGTGACAGGGAGTGAGATTATCCCCATTACCAAAGAATAGGTGGAGACTTTGTGAGGGGGTGAGACCAGGCAGAGCTGGATGCTGGGCTCCTGCCCAGCACATTTCCAGGAGATCTTTCTGAACTTTCTTTAGGGAAATTTGCCCTAGATGTTTGGAATACACTGGTCTTTTGCCCAACTAATTCTAATTCTTCTGAGCACTGTTCTTCACAACCGTGCACATTAGTTTGTAGCTCTTACCCTTCCCAAGGAAAATCACTTCCATTTCTGGATAGTTATTAACAGGTAAGGTGCTCCCCATCCTTCCCTCTGCTCGAGCTTTCTTCTGGGGGTAGGAGGAGGGGAGTAAGGGCTGGTTAGCTCCCCCAACTCCAGGCCCCCAGAGCGTCTTGACTGAGTCTCCGCCTGGAGCACCCCCAATCATGGGCTCACCTTTGAGAGGAGTCAGCAAGCCAGCCCAGCAGGGTCAGTCCGCGGGGTGCTCTGGACAAGATCTGTTCACTTCAAACCACGAGTCTATGCAGCTAGGGTAGAGGGAGTGGCAAGAGAAACCATGTTATCTGCTGACCAGATGCTCATTCAAAAGGGGGCACTCTCCCGTGGCTCACTCGGTAGAGTGTGGTGCTAATAACACCAAGGCCCCGGGTTCGGATCCCACATAGGGATGGCCGGTTCGCTCACTGGCTGAGCGTGGTGCTGACAACACCAAGTCAAGGGTTAAGATCCCCTTACCGGTCATCTTTTAAAAAAAAAAGGGGGGGGGGCACTTTCAAAGGTTAGATTCCTGAGCAGGGATTCCTGAATCTCTCCTAAAAGGACCCCAGGGAAAAACAGCCATGTCCCCAGATACCCACTTTCTGACGCAGGGAGAGGGGAGAGCACCAAGACTGGGTGCAAGGCTCAGCTGGAGGCAGCAGCTGGGGGGGTCTAGGCTCAGGATCTGGTGCTGCAGGAAGGGGAACAGTGGCCTTGAGAGGGACCAAGGCCCTACATGCATGAAGCCTAGGAGGACAGCAATGGCGATTAGAGAGAAGGTGAGAGCAGGTGGAGTGTGCAGGGCAGCTAGTCCTATCTCCAAGACTTGAAGGGCAGGGAAGTAGGAACAATGACATGGCAGGCTAGCAATGGCTCTCGGCTCTGGGGTCCTAAGAGAAGGGAGCCCCCTCCAGGGTCGAAGGAGCAGCCATGAGGCTCCCTCCCCCAGTGAGTGACCTCTCAGAAGGGCCCTAAGCTCTCCCTGGCCTGGCTGTGGTTGGCAGTGGCATTTAGCCCTTCTTGGAGAAGCGGCAGGAGGGCTGGACCTTTGGGCTTTGTGACACTGCTAAGAAAGCCAGCCAGAGAAGAGGGTGACAGTGAAGCCTAGGTCTCTAGTGTTTACAGAAACATAGAACAGAGATCGCCCCAAGACAACTTCCTGATTTGTAAATGAACGTCTGAGCATTTTCAAAGACAGGAACCAGACAGATAATTTGCATAATTCTCCCCCAGGGCCAACTACTTCCTTTTCTGGTTTTGGTCAGTGCCTCCCTAGGATATTGCAAGACTCTGTGCTGGGATCTGGACCAAGAATTCTCATTCTCTCCCAGGCCAACCCTGAGCCTCCTCTGCACCAGCCACATTTGCGTGCCTAGCACAGCTGTCACCCTATGGACCAGCAGCCCCGAGAGCCAGGCTTTCAAAAATCTTGAGTGTCAGGAAGAAGCCCTGGGCTCTAGGAGTAGTAGGAAAGCAGGTGGCAGCCACAGGCAGCACAGAGCGTCCTCCAGTCTTGAGCAAAGACGTATCTTCTTTCCAGTTGGAAACAAGAACGAGACTCAAGCTGGACCCTGAGGATGAATCTCAGCCCTGCTAAGGCGCGGGCTAATTACAGCAGTTCTCTGTGCCTTAGCCCCACAGGTAGTGACTCTTTCTGCCTCTTGCCCCCCGGGGAGAAGGATGAGTGCAGGAGCCAAGAGCACACTCTCCATGCTGCCTCTTGCACACGTTAACATTCCCACCCTGTGGGGCAGAGGAGCCCGCAGAGGAAGAAAAGGCTCAGGGAGACAGATGAGAGTCACCTCCAACCTGTGGGGCTTCACAGACCTCCCACCATCCAAGTCGTCAAACCAGAGCAAAACCTCTGGCAATTTGACTCTGCCCTGCACCTGGGATGCTCCACCTTCCATAAGCACAGAGGACGTCCGTCTGCTGGCCTCTCCCTCGACCCCACTCAGCCCTCAGTGGGAGGAGAGGTCATCCCGCAACCAAGGCGGTCAGTGTCTAATGACGGGGTCTGCCACTCTCAGCTGTGGGGTGTGCTGAGCTGTCCCTGCCCCTGCCAGCCCCCTCATACCTTTTGTGATAGATGCACAGGCAGGGCAGCCTGGCTATCGTGTCCCCCTGAAGCAGCTCCTCCAGGCAGATCACACACTCACCCGCATCTTTTGTCAGCACGTCATCTGCAAGGGGACAGGGGAGAGCACAAGAGAGTTAGTTGCCAGAAGACAGGTGGGCAAACATCTAGGAACTAGTTGGGACTGCTTAGATGACCCAAACTGTGCCAAGCTCTGCAGAGGACACAGAAGCCCAAGAGGGGCCTTGACCTTAAGAGCTTCACTATGGAGACAAAACATGCACACCGGGCCGGCCTGGTGGCGCACTGGAGAGTGCGCCGCGGCACTCCCGCCGAGGGTTCGGATCCCATGTGGAGACCGGTTCCCGCTCACTGGCTGAGCGCGGTGCGGGCGCAACACCGTGGGTTGCGATCCCGTTGCCGGTCCCCGGTACGGGCGCGACACCGAGGGTTGCGATCCCGTTACCGGTCAGTAGAAAAAACAAAAAGGAAAAAAACAAAAACAAAAACAAAAAAAACATGCACACCACAAGTTAATTACCTGAAAATAAAATGAAATTAATCCCAAAGTGGGATGAACCAAAGGCCCAGGAGATGGAGGACAAAAAAGGCTTGGAGAGGGACAAACATGTGGCAGAGGCAGCATGAGGCAAGCTGTTTCCCTTAATAGACTCTCCCCTGAACATACACATAGATCTGTGCGCTGATTTTCAGTTTGGAAAAATATGGTGATGGTTAGAGTGGTACGAAGCAAGAACGAGCACACAAAACAGGTACTCAGGCAAATACCTGCACACAAATGTTCACAGCAGCACACACAGAACAGCCAACCCAAATGTTCACCGATGGATGAATGGATAAATGAACTGTCGCATATCCATACAATGGAATATTACTCAGCCAAGAAAAAAGCCAGACATGAAAGGCCACCCACTGTATGATTCTATTTATACGAAATGTCCAGAAGAGACAAATCCACAGAGAAAGAAAGTAGATTGGGGCTGGGGGAAATGGGGAGTGGCTGCTTAATGGGTGAGGTGTTTTCCTTTTCAAAAATTTTTATTCTATTGTGGTAAGAACACTAAACATGCAATCTACCCTCAATAATTTTTCAAGTGTACAATAGGGTATTGTTAACTGTAGGCACTGCTGTACAGCAGATGTCTGGAACCTATTCACCTTGCATAACTGAAACTTTATGGCCACCAATTAGCAACTCCCCATTTCCCACTCTCCCCCACCCGCTGGCAACCACTGGTCCGCCCTCTGGTTTTCTGAGTTTGACTAATTTAGATACTTCATTCAGGTAGAATCACACTAGGGGTTTTCTTTTGGGGTGATGGAATGTTTGGAACCAGATAGAGATGGTGGTGGCACAACATTGCTAAAGTCCTAAATGCCATGAAATAGTACATTTAAAAATGGTTAATTTCATGTTATGTGAATGTCATCTCAATTAAAAAAAAAAAAAAAAGAAAAAAGAAAACCCTTCCCAAAAAGAATGAGTGAAGGAAGCTGCTGCCCACAACGAGTGCCCAGCAAAGCCACAACTATAAAAGCCGAGGCAGAACAGGGAGATCACCACAGCCAAGTCACAGTCCTTTATTAAGTTTCTACAACATTCCAAAAAAAAAAGAAAAAAGAAAACCCTTCCCAAAAAGAATGAGTGAAGGAAGCTGCTGCCCACGAGTGCCCAGCAAAGCCACAACTATAAAAGCCAAGGCAGAACAGGGAGATCACCACAGCCAAGTCACAGTCCTTTATTAAGTTTCTACAACATTCCGTGCACTGGCGACTCAGAGTGAATAAGTCATAGTCTCAAGATTTGAGCAGCTCATAGGCTAGAGAGGAGGTGGAAGAAGAAAACCCAAATGCACAGGACAGTAATTCCTAGCAAGTCTTATGATGTGTAGGCCCAGATAAGAGGGGTACAGAAAGATGCCTAATCAGGGTGCGGACTGTTCAGGGAAGGCTTCGATGAGCACTCTGGTGGGGGTGGGGGGGGAGACTCCGGGCAAATGGAACAGTCTTGTGCACCTGGGAACAGCAGAAAGTTTGCTATGGTAGGTGCAAAGAGATCTGGGGCAAGGGGAGGGGAGACCCAGTCCCAAAGGACTCATGTCCTGCTGTAGATCCTGGGTTTTCTCTGGCTAGCTGAGAGACACTGGAGGTGCATGCCGATGCCACCTCCAGAAGCTACTAGAGAATGGATGGAGGAGCTGGATGGTGTGCCATGTGCAGCAGCAATGCATGTGCTAATGGGGGCAGCTAGGCAAGGGCAGGCGCTGTCACCAAGGGGAATCCAGGAGGACACGGTGGCTGAGGGTGATGAGTTCAGGGTCGGTGGGAGGCGTCTATGAGGCATCTCCACCAGGACATACTCATGGAGACCTCCAGGAGTCTGCTGAAGACTAGATCGGCAGTTTAGGACAGAGATGCAGAATAAAGAGACTATTGAGGGACAAAGTTTAGAGTAAATCCAAAGAAGGCAAAAGCAGACCCAGGTTACCACTAATAATTTGAAGGGAAGGTGAAAGAGGCAATGTGAGCAAAAGACTACCCAGAAGTTCTCAGAACCATAGATGAACTATCAAGAGAGCAGCTTGTTGACGTGAAGAAAGCAGAGCTGTGCCCTCTTGAGTATTTGGGGGAAAAGGGAAACATGTGAGGCCCACAATATGAGGACTCTTCATGGCCTAGAAGGTGACTCAAAGCCCCCAACAAGAACCCAGAGGAAAAAGCATACAGGACCAATACTTAAGTCCTTGTACCCATGAAATGTGAGAGAAGTCACTCTTAGCTTCTTGGCCACCAGGACAATTTGCCGTCATTTCCTGTCTGTAAACACTTGGGTGACCCAACGGCCCACCTGAAAGGGTGACTCAGACAGAAAAAGGGGACAACATGCAGTCTGCCACTGGAGTGTCACCCCAGACTCCAAACATGGCAAGTGACAGATCAACATAAAGGGCATAATCCCATTGTTTTAAAGCACTAGATACCATACGTATTTATTTATTTATTGAAATATAAACATTATTTTATTTTAATTTTTTTATTAAATCATAGTTGATTATATTTTTAGGATTCAATGTTGACATATGTTGATCAAATCAATATTACTAGTATGTACACTGTTACAAATTGTACTTATTCTTTATGTCCCTTGTCCAATGTCTCCCTATCCACCTCTCCCTCCCACCTCCCACCACTGATAACCCTAGATTTCTTCTTCTCTCCCTCTGAAAAAGTAATGGTTACTCTGCTGATCTGTCACCTAGATGATCTGTCCAATGCTGAAAGGTGTATTCAGGTCCCCTAATATTATCACAGAGCAGATGCTTCTTCTGTCACTCTGGAATGAGCTTTGTGGAGAGAGACATCCTATTCTTTTCTTTGATCTCTCCTAGTGACTGTCCTGTGTCAATGCACTCCAGTGGCTGGCGGGCCATCTGCGTGGTGGTTCTGACATCTAGCCATGTTCGCGGCAGCCATGGTTACTGTGGTGGGCCACCCACATGGAGGTGCTGTTTTTGGCATGCTCCTTGGTGCTGGCGGTGTGCCTGGTTGGGGGGGGTCCAGTCCCCAGCTCCATACCCCGGTCTCCCAGGCAAGCCTGAGGCACTGGCGGTGTGCCTGGATGTGGGAGGAGGGTCAAGTCCCTGGCTCCATACCTCAGGTCCCCTGGTAGTCCAAGGCACTGATGGTGTGCCTGGGCTGGAACTAATTTTTAGTCCTTTGTTTACTTCTAAAATGGGGAACTTCCTGTGGGAACCAGTACTTGAGCCATGTTGATGAGCTAAATTGCTGCTTTGCTGCTGTTTCCCTAGGGAAGAATTTTTGTGCAGCTCAGGGTTTAACGGTTGACCTTATAGGTACTTCCAGCTCTCCAGAGACTGGGTGCACCTGGGTCGTGTGGAAACTCTGATCTAGGCCTGAATCTTTTCATCTAACTGCACCCCAGGCAATTCTGCATTCCTGACCAGTCTCCTCTGAGTGGTCCTGTGCTGATTGAGGGGTGGGTCGGCTGTGCTTGCTGTGTCCCAGTGTTCTCCCGGTGGGCCCGTCTCCCCCACCACCCATGCTCCAAACACTTCCCATGGGATGGGACCTGCGCTGGTCCCTCACGATGACTCATCAGCCTCTGAATGGCTCCCCTTTTTCAGCTGTTCTGGCTTCTTGCTCCTGCGTGGGTCCACGGGAACCCTATTAGTGGTCTTGCTGTCCTGGTGGCCACTAAAGAGCTCTTCTCCCCTGCTGCCTCCAACTAACTCCATCCAAAGGGCACAGCTGTGGCTTCTGCCAGCTCCTGCTCCATGTGCTCAGCAGTTCCAGCCTTAAAACTGGCTGCGGCCCGAAACACTCCAAGCAGTTTTTTCTTTCTCTCATGGTGGCTTCTCTCCCTTCATGAACTCCATAGATCTCTCCTCCTCTTCCCCTGAGCTCCAGCGGCCCCAGCTTGGCTGCTGTTACATTTTTATAGTTGTAAATTGGTTGATTTGTGATAGAGAGTGATGCTGGGGACCATCTATTCCACCATCTTGATCAGAACTCATACCATTTAATAATTGTGTGTATATACTATGTTTGTATATAGAAAAAAATCTGGAAGGATACATACATTTTAATAGTGGTGGAAGAAAGAAGAATTAGAAGAAAAATATTTTTACATACTTTTGTATTGTTTGAATGTGAATTACTTTTATAATTACAAACCCCAATAAAGAAGTAAACTGGTATTTGCATTTTACTCCACAACGTGTCAGAAGATGGACTGGTGGATGGACTGACAGGTGATAAAGCAGCTAAAGCATAATGCAGACTCCAGGTGATGGGTACATGGGTACTCACTGCAAAACTCTTTCAACCTTGCTATATGTTTAACATTTTTCATAATAAAACATTGAAGGAAAACAAACCAATAAAGATGGGAGGGAAAATACCCTAGCTTCAAGAGGGCAGAGTCAACCTTCAGACGTTCTTGGACGTTTACTCCCCACTCTGTCTTGTGCATCTTGTCCATGCAGTGAGTGTTTGGGCATCAGCTCTTAGTTTCCACCCCACACCTGATGATTTCCTTGGAGCACGGCAACATTATTGATTCTG